GCCCAAATACAAGACGGACAGATAATCTGAATGTGCTATAGAGTAGAGAATCTGTTAGGTACGCTCGACGGGCTAGTGGGGGTAAATTAAAGTTACCAAATGTAAGTATTTAAGAAAATTCACATCGCACGAGATGGCTCAAAAATAAATGGTAACAGCTAATAAATGTTGACTTTGTACAATTTTTTTAACAACAAAATTTAAAACACTACTTATTGTGTATTTGCTTGGGTGTGCTTTGTCGCCAACAGTTTTGGAATTAGCACCTCCACAATTGTTTGCTTTTCTTAACATAAGTTTATTCGGGAGAGGGAGGGGGTGTTACAATTGGTATTATATCTCAAATACTTGTGTACTTAGCTTTCTAGATTTCGGCGAGTGGCGCTAACCTGTTATGCGTATTAATGATATACATTGAGGCGCGTATATAGGCTTGCATTTCGTTAAACCTTTTGTATATATATTTTTTATTTCACTTATAATATTATACAATTAATTACAGTAACAGCCGTAGCCATTGGGGCGTTTCATAATAAATACGCCGGCGGTGCTATTGCTTCTGTATAACCCTAATAATAGTATAATATTTTGTTGGAAATGTTTTTGTTTAACGCGCGGTACAATATTACATTGTGCTTCTATAAAATAAAAAACGGCGAAAGCTAACTCCGAACGATTCCGTGTGGTCATTGATTGAGGCCAAAAATCTTTAGGCGTAAGTACACATTTTTCTGGTGGGAATACAATATCGTATCATCGAGCATAGGTACAAACAGTCGCGACGAATGTGTGTGCATGAATAAACCGGCCTCTTTGCTTCCACGTTACATAACATCCAAAAATCAACGCGAGACATTGCAATTATTATTAATCTTTATTTATCTCTGCCGACAGAACACGAATGCGTATCACACGTTACAAAATATAATAATTAGTTTGCAAAAATAAAATTAAAAAACCTGTTCGAGTGCCGAAAAAAAACGCAGTAGTTTTGTTTGTTTGGTATACAAATGTTTGCTATTTAATCAAAAATATGGACCATGCTTTTCAAAATCCATGGATTTTTTTAACAACTCTAATATTATATCATAGCCGTCGAATCTAGCAATAGGTATAATATATCTGTATCTACACTGGCCGAGTGACGGCTGCGGGTTGCCCGGACTTGTTTTTTAAAAGACTGTTTTTGAAAAATAACTTTTATACAACCGATTGCCGAAAAAGATTAACCTAAAAAATCAAAGAGCTCGCGTTAACGACCAGATATTTTATTTTCCATCACGGCATCTGTAAAAATGCGCATTTATCATTATTCATTATTGTATGATATTTAAGAATCACGCGGAGTTCCTGTCTTGTTCGACAAAAGTCCTTCGCCCACACGGACCAGATGCAATTCGTCGTCCGTCGAAGGTAATGGAGATTTAATAAAAAACAATATTTTATATATTATTATATACACACGTCTTATATGGGGTTTTTTTTTTTTTGTCAAAACACATCTATTTTTCTTCTAAATAATAAAAAGTAACAAAAATACCGTTTGCGTTCGGGAGCGAAGGACGAATAAGACAATAAATGACACAATATAGAAGTATGTTTATATGGATTTGAAAAATGAATAGCCGCAAAATTAATAACAGGTAACTAGTATATAATATACTAGGCCGAATGACTAATGAACCGAGCTAAATAAACTACACTGGTCGTGAATAGTAAAACCAGTTAAGCGCGCAAAATATGCGTTTTCATTTGTAAACATTTGAAAATATTAAGCCGAGTGAATCGTTTAAAGGTCGCGAGGAACATGATAATATTACCATTATTATCATTATGCAGTGAAAATTTAGAAAATTTAAAAAAAGCATTGGTGCATATTTTAGTTGCATAGGATAGGTACCGACTATTGTTCAACAATAGAAATGTTTTAACCGATTATATATGTTATATTTCAATATTATAGTAGACTATAAGAACACCTTAAATACTAAAGATCAAGCATCAAAACATGATAGACCATACCGGTTATTCAACGATTCCACAATAAGGCATATCATTATGATGAGAAACTGAAAACAATCTGGCGGTGACATTTTTAGGTTCTTTTAAAATACTTATTATACATCATACTCCAATTCTTTCATCCGGAATCACTGTAAGAACAGCTGTTTAAGTTCAAAGGGAAACATTGTCAAGTTTGGGTTTTAAGAGTTCATACAGGGAGCGAACATACAGAACGTCTACTTATGTCTCAAATGGGTGAACGTGCAAATTTTGGTTCATATCAATCAAACGAAATTGAATTCGATGGACAGTGATCAACAAGGAATTAACAGTTAGAAAATTGTGTTTTAAATTTATCAAGTTCTGGTTCTTATTTATAAAAATTCTTAGTATAGATTGAGTCACTAACTTGAAACGACCTAATTCAATATTGATAATAATATGCTTTGTTTGTTATTTTTAATTGGAAAGATAATCAGTTTTTATTCATAGCTAAAAGATCAATTTCTAAGATAAAAATTATAGATAAGATTAGATAGTCATTTGTATTTTAATCGCTTTTTTACTTTTTATTTAAAAAAAAAAGCTTTTGTCCATTGATTCAGCACGACTATTGTAACATTTTTCCACTTGAAAAGTTATTACAACAGTTGTACACATAATATAATAATTCTTCGATAAATAAATGTTTTTTTTTAAATCGTTACATTTACAAGTTTCTATAAACATTGTATTGATAATCTCAACACTGGACTTATCTCGCGCGAGGCTGACCGATTTCGCTCGATCGGCATACGTTTGGATTATATTATATTATCTACTAGTGCACAACAATAGCGTTATGTGTATTGGTTTATAATTATTATTATTATTGTATATTATATTATTATTGCGGAGGTCGACGGTTGCGCGATTTGGCGTGTACTTTGGGCAAGGTCGAATTAGTTTCGCCGCTGCTAAGAATGTAAACGAGAACGCGTCGCTGCCGATAAACCATTAAAACTAAACCGCGTACGCGTACACATGTTTAAGGCTGAATAATAGGAAGTGATACACTGTGTAGGACTACTACTACTGCTAATACATCCGGACTGTCAAGGTAGCCGAACTCGGCGCCACGGTCTCCTTGACTTTCGGTTCACAATTTTAATAAGTCATAATAATAATAATTGCGGTATGCCGTGTATATAAATCGGTGTGCGGCGGCGCAGTGCTCGGATGAATGATCATTGCTCGAAGACACGGTAGTATACCTAGTAATAATACACAAGTGCACGCGCCACTCCTTTCAAGATCACTCGATTAATCCAATACAAACGCCGTTTAACCGCCGCGATGGATAAATAATGATAATAGATAGTATCCGGCATGTCCGCTGTTGGGATAGGTTAGGTCAAATGTATATCAGTTGGAAAGTCCTGAAACGGTTGGCAAAGGCTAGAGAACGTCCGGACTTGATTGATCACCGTGCTGGTAAATGTTATATTCGCTTTGTGTGCGGTCAATATGATTTTTTTTGTTATTTTTGTTTTGCGAGCGCCCGAGGAAATTTGTTTAACGCGCGACAAGGTTGACCGGCCATCGCTTTCATGGTCAAGAATGTTTCCAATTCAACTGCAACCGAGAACTGAGCACACCGAAACCAGTCGAATCGATTAAACCGCGAGAACAGCCTATTTTCAGGAAACAAACGATGATCAAAAAATGCCAACGCGTATGAGTAAAATTAAAAAAATATATATATCAAGTTGGACAAGTATTTGAAGTACAAAATACATCATATGAGTGTGTGCAAATTTCAAAACAAGTTTTTTTTGTAGGTTTTTCGAAAAATATTCCTCAGCCTTAGTGTCACAAAACGTGTCTTCTTTGTTTAAACTTAAATAATAATTTAAAAAATAGAGAAATAATAAAACACCGGTGACATGACTTAATGATAATACTATAAAACCTTTTAAAACCGCTGAATTTTTGGTAAAACCGTATAACTGACAACAAAATGAAAAATGTTAATCGTAAAATATCAAGTGAGGGATTTTAAAATGTCACATTTTCGCTTTAGAATCTTTTTTTAAAATTCTAAACTGAACGTTTTTGATTTTCGCGGACCAATCACAGCCGCTTTACGTTCACGATGGTTTACAGTGACGTAGTTTGTTTTCAAAAATCAAAATTACAATTTCGAAAAATGATTACATTTTTTCTTAAATTAGTTATGTAATAAGCTGCAGATCAAATTACTATAGTATGTAATTTCAGGCGCGCAAATGTATACCCTGTGTACCGTAAATGATGGCCCTGGGGGTAAACCGTAGGAAAAAAATAATGAAAACAAAAAAATACACATTCTTATATAGTAAATTGTGAATAATTTACTGTACGAAACCTCTTAATGACGGAATGTGTATAACCGCGTGAATAAAAAAGCTTATACTATTATGTTGTGTAATAAAATATATGGTCTTGGTCTTTGTCTTTGTACTTATACAACTTATTAGTTCAATCACTGTTGCTCTTATCGATTGTATGCAAAAATATTTCGGTTGTAATTAAAACCCTTCACATAAAACATGTTTAATTTACTTAATTTCAATTAAAATTGTCGTTATAGTTTATTTCCATTGGCTCCTAGGTCTAGGGCCAACTCGTGCGCGTAAAAAAAAACTCTTTTAAGTTCTGACACGTTTGAGATTATTCATACTAAGTAATATTGATAGAATACACGTTCAGTAATCCGTATTCATCCTCGAAGGACATATCAATTAAGAGTGCTCACGGCGGGGTGTCCAGTCTTAATCAATTCATTTATTTGGAGATACCGACACCACGTCGGGGTAAGTGATTTTAATAATATTAAGTGCTTGTCATGACTTTTAATCGGTTGCAAATAAAATTCGTCGATCCCGGATCCGGCATGTATGTGAATCATATTTAAATTATAATAATACCACTTGTATACACCTAATGTAACATTATATTTTGCAGCAAACACTCACCCAGTATAACGTTGCCGACGAACAGACTCAAGGTAACCGTCGTGAAGGTGGTGAACCTCTGGAAAAAAAAAAAAATTCATTACCGTCGTTAACGTTTGCAACAAGGTTGACGATACCATAATACAATAATCATAATAATGTGTAATTAATTAATGAAACTTTCGTTGCCGGAAGTGAGACCTACGTGACTCTGGTTGGCGACCAGATTCCTTATGGAAATTATTTCAATCGATTAATATACACAATGTTGTAGGTACGTTGCACGACAGTCAAGGATAAACGTATCAAAGTTTATGCCACTTGTTTCTGATGCCGTTTAACCAACGGCTAACGTTTTGTTACAACTGGTGTCGCAACATCACAAACGGTTAGAAGATAGTTATAGTAGAGTAGGTACAATAAGCGATAATGAATAATAAATAATGCTGTTGGGCGAAATAATAATACAGCGTTGAGAAGAAACTCTTCTAATCTGGAAAATTACTCTAAAACTTATTAATTTTTTTTTGGGGAAATTTACGAGGAACTTTAAGGGTTCTTTTCGACACGTGGCGTTTATAACAACATAATAGAACATTGTGTACAAGACTCACTTCTTTCCGGACTCCGGGGAAAATGATTAGGAAAGCGACGAAGATCGTGCCGAACACCAAACAAGTGGATATCATTTGCACGTCGCCGGTGACGGGCGTGCGGTTGCTGTAACCATAGAACACGGGCCCTCCATCGCTCCTTAGCCACGTCATTCTGAAAACAAAAAGCCAATACATTGTTGTATATTATATTATAATAAACATGGGAGTTAAAAAAAAAAAAACAACAACAACAATTGAAGCGTTTATCTTAAACGGCTGTTGAGCCAGAGTGGTCAAGCACGTTTTAGAAAGTACACATGATAATATATTGCATGGACTACCGTTTTTATACGAATAAATATTATAATATTAAATAATATTATAAGTATGGTATACAGTGTGCTCCAGATGAACTGCAATTTGAATAGAAAAGAAATTTCTAATTTTAACACTAGCAGTGTTCTTTAGTTGAAGTTGTATTGATGTAACAAGAATTTTACCATACGTGTTTTCATTCAACTATCAGCTGCTCGCAATCGGTCAAAAGGATAACACAAGTATAATTTATTAAGAAATACATCTGTTAAACAATTACATTTCTAACAAATGGGAAAATGACATTAATATGAATCGAAAGTTTAAAAAGCCTTTTAAGTATAAATAATGCATTTTATAAATATTATGTTATGAATCATTACTGCAATACTATATTCATAAATGTAACAAAATACAAATTTAAAAAAAAAACATAGTTTTTTAAACCCACTAGCTCGTTTATCTTATTTTTTTTACGTTTCCATCAATTATTCTTTGTTTTTCGATTGTAGTTTCTAACGAGTAGGTACATAATGTAATTATTTAATTTGCATAAGAACTCTTGGTTATAATAACCAGTTTAGAAACCTAATTGGCAATCGATACATTTATTAATTTTATATATTGTATTATACACTGGGCCGAATCAAGTTAGTCATAGGTCTTATAAGCACTTAAGTCCCAATTTTCGGAACGTTTTTAAATGTTTAATCCAAAACTTTTCTAGTACACAATTAATTTTTATTTTCTAGACATTTTTTACACGGAAAAAGGGCTTTTAAATGTCATAAAATATTATAGTATTATGTAATATATGAGTAAATTGTAGTACATTGATTCATAATGAACATTATTTTTTTATATATATACATTATTGTATTGTACACAACAGTCGTTTTAGCGCATGCTGTATACATGTAAGGATATAGAATGTAACTATAAAACTAGAAAAAAAATCTTCCACGTTCGATTGCGTAACAACTTGTATTACATTACACTGTTGACCTTACGATGAATATTTTACCGGATTAAATCCCCCTGTAAACGACTGCCGACGCCCACCCAGTCGGAAGTGCGATTTTTAACGACCGTCTGACGTTTTTTTTTTTTTACTACTGAAAATATTATATTAAAGTAGTTTTGTACTTATATATATATTACCCATCCCCAGCGTTAAAGTCCCCACGACGTTTATCATTGGCAAAATAATGGTTTATATTTCCTTATTGTCGTCCGACTTACACAAATGTGTCATTACTGTCGTTACAAGGGTACGTTCCGGCCGACGACCAATGTCACTGCTTTCCTCATCTAAATAGTAAGTAGGTATATACGGTAACATAATAATAATATAACTGGGCGAGCAATGGTGTAAACGAATCGACGTTGCCACGGCCGAGGCCTATACATCGCATTACATAAAGTAGCACAAATAATAATAAAAATATGATATTATGCGTTCAAGTTAAAACCACGTTAATAGTAATTATATTACAGCTGACTGTGTGAACGGAGGATTTTGGCGGCTATTGGCGAGATGCAAAGCGACGGAGAAACTCTAAATTCGAAAAACTGTTTATTCATTATATTATTCATATAATCTACGGTGTAGACTTGTTCTGTCAGCTGGGCGTGACCCAAGGTCCTATTTAACGTGGCGTTAAAGCTTCGAACGTGGTTATAATTGTCGCAATTCTGTTTTGCTCAAATATGTTTTATATATTTTGTCGACCACGCACAATAGCGGCAAATCATCGGGCGATACCACATTCTTGTGTTCGAAATCTCTAAGACAGCACCCAAACAAGACAAATTAATATGCAACATAATATTCAGAACCAGTTGTGAGACTAATCTAAAAGCCTGATCCTTATTAGGCGGGGTCTATTAGTTTCCCAGTAAAACTTTTGGGACTAACGGAAGTAAACAAAACAAATTTCAGTCTACTCTAAAAAAAAATCAAACACCTTCCAGATGACCCTGAAATTATAAGACGTTGAATATGTTTTACTGCCAATCTCTATGATATCACTAGTATCAAACACCGTTTTTATCAATACCTTATATCTCGTCATCCCTTATCGATTAACACTCTTATCACTATTATATCTATTTCCTCATAGCTCGTGTGGAGCTTTACGATAGCAATAAAATATTCTTTGTTAAAAAAAAAAAACAATATGAATAAAAATACTATGGTTAATGTTATATAACATCAATGATAATATTTAATTAATACTATTATATAAGATCAAATATTTTAGGCTGTCAACAAACAAAAAACGATGAAATCGGTGTATCATATTATAGTGATAGTGATTTAAAAGTTCTACATCGAAGCTACGACCTACATTTCTTATTTTCAGTTGGACTTGATGGATGATTCCATCTTACAAAAATGTGTTTTACTAACAAATAAGGTAAACGAAATACCTCAGAAGGTTCGTGCGAGACAGATAACGCGTGTATTGCGAAAAAAAATATGTTCGAATAGCAATAAATATTAAAAATTAAAAACATTTTACTATTTGGGATATTCCACGATTTTCTCATGGTCGTCTAATTGCCAAGATATAAAAATTCTTTTGCCTCGAAGCTAATGCCTATACAAATTAATATTATATCCAAGATCGCGTGTCAGTCGAGACTTTGAAGTTACCTACTTCAAAATGATAATAATATTGTGTCGCAATATTAATACTACATGTATATATATAAGCCCGACTGGGCAAATAGATATATTTATAAGAACTTATTTAACTAAGGATAGGCAAAATTATTTTTATTTTTTTTTAGTAATTTTTTAGATAAAGTTAAATTAAATGTTTGGCACTAAGTTGGCTACTGAGTCTTATTTAAGTCAAAAGTTCATGTAATAACTTAACGAATAAACTCAAGTTTGATTTGAAGTTGTTTTTTATTTTTATTGGATAGTTTACAATTGTTTGTTTGGGAGCTAAAACGCGGATTTTAGACAGAGTAAGTAACTATTATACCAAGTTGAATTAATTGAATTATTGAACTTCCCTTTAACTAATTATGGGCGCGTTAATATCCAGCCTTTTTTATTAAGTTGGTTGCGTACGATCTATACTTAGGTATAAAAGCACTTATAACCAATTAACACATAACACTTATAACCAATTTTTATTTGACAAAAATATACGAATAGTGCCAAACAACTGAATACCTTAAACGCAAAATTGAGTTTAATTAAGTTGCGTTATATGTACGTTCTACGTAGTAACTATAAAAGCATTGTACGTTTTTTTTTTTTATAATAACCTGAATTAAAATAGATAATATTTGTACAATTATAAGCCAGCATGCGCATGCTTATATGAATTTGCATTAGATTTCTCCAATCATTGTAATAACGTAACTAGCCGTACATAATAATTATTATACAACAATAATTATTACTATCAAGTCATGTATAATAATATGACGAAATGCATCTCCTGTCGGTATAAAAAAATGTTGCGTTTGAAAAAGCTTTTAAGTTTAAATTGCACTCATAATTATGTACAATATGTTTTCTTTTTTCGAATATTATTTTTTCACTCAAAATTGTTAAATATATTAAACAATTTCAAATTGCTAACTCGATATATTTTATTTGAACGTACGCTATGTATGTACTTAGGTTTTTAAGATTGTTAGTTCAGAAATAACGTCGTCTCCGTTAAGATGATAATACGATATAGATAAAATCCAAGATCCATAGAATACATTTAGAATGTTTGTAATTAATCTGTCGCGATTGTTCATTGCTCTAGATTTCACCTATATTATTATTTCATTATTTAAATAAACCATATCTATTTTTAACTCATATCTTTACATATCCGCAGGGCGTTAATTAATATAGATTTTTAAATGACAACCTGTTTGTGTATTTTTTTCATTAAAATGAGAATGTTAATTGGCGGGTAACCAGCAGTGTTGAATAATGATTTTCAAATGAATTCAGAGTGTCCTTAACTAGGGCAGAAGTCAAAGCGCAGACGAACAGTACATACCAGTCGATAATGATATAATATTATTAGAATACATATCTCTCACACCACGCAAGTTTTAAGCACTGATGAATCTCAAAAAATAATTATCCATTGTTTATTTTATTGTTTTATAAAACATTTCAGTTTTATAACAAGTCATTAATATCGTCTAATAAAGGTTTTGGTTGGTTTGACTTTTCTAAGAGAACTTTTTAGGCTTAAAAAAAAAATCTGGTTTGATAATAATAATAACAAATATATTATTTTATATTATGAATGACTGTAATAACCCATGCCTTTTAAATGCAATAAATTATATTTATAATAATTATTCTATACTTCATAGTGGAGCGAAGCCGTTACTGTTTGTAACAAACGCATAGGTAATAATAATTATTACTCAGACTCTGATGGGTATAAGTTGTAACGTTGCATAATACCTAAAGGCGAGCCTTCGTCTTGTATCGATCGCTATAATAACATCACGCAACATGTTTTATGTTTAGAAAACAATGCAATTTTTATTTTATATAATTCAAACTTCAATTGGTATTTAATTTTTTACAGCGCTTATTGATTTAATATTTAAAATATCAATATTTCCTATTCAATACAAGCAACTAAAAGACGATAGATATGTCTAACTCTTGGACTATTATGGCAATTTAATGGTTTTAGAGAAATAAAGTATTAAAAATGGATGACTATTTTTCCAGTTAAGGACTGAAACAACGAAGACCGAAGTTGATTGTTTTTAAGATTTATAATAATTGTTTAATAACAATGTTATGCATAAAATGTTGAATTTATCGAGAGTACTATCTACCTTAACTCCAGCAACATTTGCAGGAAAGTCAGTGAAGGATATTCCTAGGTTTTCTTTTTCAACTTTCTTAGTTATCTATTATAGGCTGACATTTTTTTAAATCGTCTATTTTCAATGTACTCTTCACTAATGTAAACAATATACATAAAACGGTTTGAAAATCAAAGTTAAAACAAAAGTTGTAAAACAAATCAACATTTTTAAACCTCTGGTACTCAGACCAATTTAAATTTTGACATTTAAAATATTTGTAAACGGCTTAGATAAATTTTTCATTTTTTTACGATCAATCACTTAGTCAGGCCAACAAACAGTCTGTATTATTCAAAATGGGGCTTAAATTTAACAATACAATTGTATATGTTATACTTTAAACTTTTATTTTACAAAATATAAAATATGTCTGTAAAAAATGTCGATTTGTTTAACAACTTTTGTTTTAAAAAAGTTTTATGTATATTTTTTACACTAGTGAAGAGTACATTGAGTAAAAACTTATATGTATACACAAATTGTCTATAAAACTTAAACTTTTATGTAAAAGTATTTAAATCACCGATAATATGTAGTTTTTTGAACGAGTTCGATAACTGAGCTTTCAAACCCTGTTCAAATACATAACCGTTTTAAACGTGTATTTGTATGATTTGTTTGTTATTATTGCAGGTATCTTGATGTTGTATGTTGATTAAGTAGGCGGCAAAACCCACACGTATACATACATATTTAATATAATTCATTTTATTTATGTTGTTATTTTATTAACATTTACATTGCGTATAAATCATTATTATTACAGTAAAAAAATGTGCTCATGTATGTGCCACGTTGGGAATAAACGATGTAAACGTTGGGAACCTTCGATTATGAGGCAACCAGCATTTTTTTTTTTTTAATATTCTATTCAAGTTGTTTTGTATTATATTAATTTACCTGGGAGTTATACTGTAGTAGGCGTGTAAGCGAGTAAGCAGTTCCGGTTAGGTTGACCGAACGAAAATCGTAGTTTTCGGTGAAAATAATTGTTTTAAACGGACTTATTATAATAAATAATTTTTTCAGTTTTTCTCGTTCACTTCACATAACAAACGGTAACTATCATCACACTGTATAGGCGTAACGTTACAACGATAACGTTGTTGTATTATAATATAATATTTTAACCGGCGACAGCTGTTGGCGCGCGGTTTGCATGATTGACGGTCGGCAAACGGTGCACGTGCGATGATCGGATCCCGAGCGGACACTGAAGAGACTGTCGGTCGCACACAGACGGTTTGCTGTGTGATAAAAAAATATATACACATATATATATAAAAAAATAATAATAATCGTCGAAACAATAAGGCGGCTGTGGATATCGAGGAAAACGTACACGCCGAGTGCATCTGGTAGAGGGGACGAGCGGGGCCGGCAAGGTCGCCGCCGCCGCCGACGACGACGACGGCGTTGGCCTCTAGTTATTATTATTATTATATTATTATAAAACGGCAAGATACATAATATTTTATATAACAAACATGTACACGGTGTTTTTTTCTACTTCCATTGGTTTCTACACCGGGCGCAACTGGTTTACTTCCGAACTTTCAACGGTCATTGCCGCGGGCGCGGTGTAGCCTAAAGGCAACGCAGAGGGTACTAGGGAAATAGGCGACCACAAGGACGACGGGCGAACGGTTTTGCACAAAGGACGCGCGAAATGCCCACAACAGGAAGTGTTGGATAAAAAAAAAATAGATAGAAAACAATAAAAAAACGATTGTCGATCACATTCCGTTGCGCTGTATTAATAACGACCCACAAGGTTTTTGTCGGGTCGACAAAACCACCGGAAAATGTCCCGAGCGTTTTTCGTGTAATCATTTCTGCTAACGAGACAATCTCCCCCTGGTGGTTGTTTTTTTAACCCCGAGGACACGATCGTTTTACCAGTGTACCAAACGGCAATTCGTTGTTTTTTTGTTGACAAAAGGAATTATAAATAATAATTGTTATTATTGTTACATTAACGCCTACACTTTTGCATATATTCGGTGGCAGTTAATTTTTTACACTCGAACCGACCACGGCTGTTAATGTTAACGACTAAATTTCCGGCTCACCTATTTACAAAAAAAAAAAAAATGTAATTTGTGTTAAAATTGTTAATTTGTTCAATGATCAATAATTATTTTTCAAGCCAAAATCATGTTGAGAAGGATGGATGGAGATGAGTTATAAGCCGACTTATAGAACTTTATTTAATTAAATTTTTTCAGTTAATTAATAACGTTCACATAAAAATTCTTATTATAACAGTTTTAAATAAAAATCAAAGTTGTACAGACAATATTTTACAAAAAAGCTTTTACTCGACTCGGCAGGGACCGATTTACTGGAGTAGCACATCAGTATAGTCAACCGACCACAAATCTTATCAGCCTTGAACCAAAAGTTGGCCGAATCCTCTTCTTTAAGAGGGCATATTATGATATGAAAACACATTTTTTCTTTAACGACAGACCCAAAAAGGTCTTTATTCCAAAAATTCAAAACACATTCTGATTATAATTCCACCCAAGTTACGGTCAAGTTAAAAAAAAAAATATATTTTGTATAAAGAAAACCTCTGTATTCGTGTAAAATGCACAAACTACATGTTATAATCTATTACATAAAATATAATTTTTATTGTACATATAATAGCTCCATTAGCTATCGATTATTGCCAGTTAAAGTGTTAACTGTACACCAGTCATGTGTTTTTTTCTGTTTTTCCGCTTCTTTGTAAACAGAAAGGAACACAAAGAAAATACACATCGCTATTTAAACATTATAAGAAACTATTAATTGTATTCATGCAGGTTATCAAAGACATCTCAAAGCCCCTAACTAACTATTGTAATCATTTTTATTTGCGTACAGTAGGCGAGGAGTTTCCCATTATTCACGGTGCAAAATATTATATATATAAAAAAAACACTTGTCTTTGGTTCCGTGCAACGTTAACACTAGCGCACTATTTAAATAATATTTTTATTGAAACTAAATCCGAGCATGCATTGAATGAATAGGTACAACTTAACAACTCACGAACGGTACAGACATAGAAAAAAACCCGACGTAATACAATGCCAACGTGGAAGTTTGGCCTTTCCCAATAATAATTGGCATATCAGATTATAGATGAATGTGTTGGTTCGAATGGGCTGTATATTGTTTGAATAACTTACTCGAACAAGTACCTAAATAAAACACACACACATAACAAGCTTTTTTTTTTTTGTTTGCTATTCCGGTGAAATTTTTTTTAGAAAAATTTCGTTAAACTTTGTAAATTATGAGTAATTTTTTTTGTTTCTGTCATTATCGTTTGAAATAAAATTAATTTTTTCATGGAAACACAATTTCCAACTGCTATTTTAAGGCCGAAAAGTGATGAAATATCAAGTGTGTATGTGTTCGCTGAGTCGGTGTACTTGTACATGGTGCTAACGAATTTTAGGCGAGCAACAAGGCCGTTTTTATTTCAACGTTTTGTGTGCACCTATATTATATTATATACTTAAGTGGCTACACTTAACAATCCAAGTACACGCGGAAAACGACAAGTATAAAAATATGATTCATAACAATTAGTTACATTATCTGAACCCACGCTGTTCAGTGTCCAAGAAGTGAATGTCTGTGAAAATATTATAGGAACCGGAAGAGACGACCGAGAGTTATTTATCTAATAATTTATCAGGAGCGATCAATTTATATGGGAAATGTAATTGACAAAAATATATATAAATATCCTTTAATACATACACTAACTGTATTCTAATGAGGTACAATAGTTTTAACCTAGTAGTACTAGTAATCATATTGGTTAGTTAATCTGAACACTTAGGAGTGGCTTTTAATCGCATTTTGAACCGTGTCAATGTGTCCTAACGCTAAGTCCTATTGGATTTTCCACGAGGTACCCAAATGGAAGTACCATGACTTTATGTCTTTTAAATTTGTTTTAGGCTATTATCAATTATTTGGTTTGAAACAACTAATACTTTGAAACTTTAGAAAAACCGTTAAAGTTAATTCTTAAATTTGATTTTCGATATAAATTATAATTAATTTGAAAATGATTAATTTTTCATAAAATTATACCGAAATATTAAGTACAATTAGTTTATCGATAATCAAAGTAATTCATTTAGTAACGCTAATTTTTGCAATCGGAAACTAGTTGTGGTAACTGCAATAATTATGAATTACTTCCTTATGTTTTTTTATCGTTTTAAATTCTACACTAACAGCAAGTAGGGGGGAAACTAGTTGATAATGTAAAGTCCGTGTAGCACACTAACCTAGTTTCGACCTATCTGGTTTTTTAATGAAATACCATGTAAATATAAGCTTCGAAAAAATAAATAATATTTGTTTTCCACGTACAAAATAAAATGAATGGGCTATTAACCTACGGGTGGGTACATAATCATGACATAACATATAATAATTATTGATAAATATAGAGATACTCTCTTAGCGTTACCAATATATATGTGAATAATTTATAAGAACAGTTGATTTTGAGAATGTAAAAATTAAAATCATAGTAAAATATTGTGATTTTGTTAATACAGATATTGTTTTTTTTTTTTATTTCAACAAATATTCTGTTTTGGTTTCTAGTCGATTTTGGGTCAAAAAACTAATAAATTATACTTTTAACAGCTGAAACTGGATAAATTTTACGAGGAGAATATCTCCCAATCTAGAAACAATCAGTTAAAAAAATAGAATATATAATTTGTAATATCTATTCTATAAAGATTAACTGTCCATATTATGGAAAAATCTGTTTTGTTTATACCATTCTTTTTAAAACCTATACACTAATATAAGCTATTAAACAGCTACACTTATAGTTATTTTTGACGACATTTAAAGTTTATTTCACCGTCTATAGATTTTCATTTTAGAAAGCCAATATTATTATACTCAAGTAAGTCTTACAAAATAACGACCGTCTCGAATTCTCTATGCTTCGTCACTAATGTCCTGTTTTTTTCCATGTATCTGAACTAACAATACGTTTCTAACTACAGAATCGCTTTCTTTATTTAACTATGGCCTATACAATCCAAAAAAAAAAAACTCTTACCAAAGGTACATTATAATTAATGTAAATATGGAAAAAGCCCTTTCTTATAATTATTAATAAAATCGAGAAAAATAATTTTAAAAAACTCTTGTCAAGTCGCGGGATCGGCATTTCACTTTATTAATTGTTAGAGAATTATTAAAAAAAAAGAAGCTAAACACTTAACATCTAATGTTCTTTCCGTCGAAATTTAAAAATAATTATTAAAAAATGTAATTTTAAATATGTTTATATTATGTTTCAACTTTCTATTTATGTACAATTTTTAGGTCTGTAGTAAATTAACTATATCAGATAAAGGTCTGAAAATCTTCACTGCACTTTAAGACTCTAAAAACAACAAAATTCATCTTTTATCATGAACTTTCATCATTTTTCAAAAATCCTTTTTGGCACAAAAAAGCTGAACGGTTTTTTATTTTCAGGAGTTAAAAAACTTTAAATAAAGCAGCAAAAATCCAAAGGGTGTAAATGACTTATTTTTACAGTAGTGCAAAGTTAAAATGTTTTTTTTTTTACGTGGGAGATGTTTAATAGTTTGTTTCATTTAAAACCGTAAATAAAACACACCAAAATAGGCTTCATTTGTAATTATTATGGTATAATGGAAAACTTAAATAAAAATAAATCATTATCAAACGTTTTATTGCAATTCTGTAGATAAGTTGTTTCTACATATCAGTAGTCGCCGCCATCCGATTAAGTTTTTGAGGAGATAGTTTTTAAATCTGAGGTTAGCCATCCTATAGCGACATAAAAAAAAACTATTGCATACAATGTATGAGATCCTATACTATTTAAGTTGACAGCATATTATTAGTCAATTGACGATTTTCAATAATCGTACAGAAAAATGTTTAATGATGACAAGTATTTACTGAATATATTATTACGGAATCTCTTTAAAATAATATACATAATTATTTGGAAAAAAATAAACTTGACAAATAGTAATTTTTTTTGTAAATAAACACATTTGCCGGTAACACGTATACAGTGTGTATAATATATTATAATACACACATCACGTTTCCACGTCTTATATGTACTAGTCATAGGTGTGTGTAGGTACCTGCTTGCCTGCCTGCCTGCCTACATTCGCATACCAGCGCGTGTAAACCGCTTTATAACCGCTGTAGAA